TGCTGCCTCTGTGCAGAGTCCTCCCTGCCCCAAATTCTGCCCAGCCTGCCAATTGCCCAGCTGACTTACATCTTCTGCAGGTTGGGCAACTTCTTGAAGATACTGGTGGCCTCCAGGACAGATATGCTCCCCACCTAATGGCCCTGCTACCACTCCTGGCTCTACGCTGCTCACTGACTTTTGACCTTGGACAAGTTCCTTAGCTTTCTGTGTTTCACCCGAGACCCCCATGTCCCGTCGCTGATCCTTTCCTGAGTCCCTCCCCCCTCCCTCGGGGCAGATGCGGGTTGTGGGCTGGGGAGCAGGATGAGCAGAGGGCACATGGGGGGGCAGGGATGGCATGGGGCACACACCATCACAATATCGATGATTTAGAAACAGTGATGTTCCGTTTGGTCTGTGTCTACACGCCGTGCCTTAGTGCCTACTGCCCAATACATGCCCACGGGGTGGGGCGGGGGGGGGCAGGAGGAGGCCGAGAGGGCCACCTGGAGCTGAGGGATCCGCCCCCGCCCCGCATTCTGCCCAGCCTGCCAATTGCCCAGCTGACTTACATCTTCCGCAGGTTGGGCAACTTCTTGAAGATACCGGTGGCCTCCAGGACAGATATCTCGTTGTCGTTCAGTCGCCTACATGGGAAGCAAGCAGATGAGGGGGCGGCTTAGCTGAAGATGGATGGGGCTCCCTCTCCCCTACCTTCTGAGGCCCCACCCAGCACCCCCATGGCTTCAGCTGAGTTGCCGCCTGGACCTCACACTCAGCCCATATCAGCAGAGCCTGGACAATGTAGTGTCCACCCTGCAGCCCACGGGTGGGGAGGGTGGAAAGGGGAGTGTGTGAGGGGCAGGAAAGGGCGAAGGCCAGGCTCCTCCCGGGGGAAGCCCCTGGGACTAGGTGTGTTGGGCTTTTGAATACTCAGCATCCATTGCCAGTGATCCACCTTCACTCAGGAGGGTACCAGTGACAGCCACACCCCCAGGAAGGCTTCCCCATGTCCTCCCAAGGCGCCCAGCCTCTCAGCTTTTTCCGGATCCTTCTCTCTGCTGGGGCTGCTTGGGGACCCCAGGCCCCCATGCGTAGGTGCTCGGGGAGAGGAGGGCCTGCCGTGACTTGTGAGGCCAAGAGAAGGAGGGTGAGGGTCATGAAGGCCACCATCGTTTCCCTGGGGCTTACTCTGTGCCAGGTTCAAGGTGAGTCCTGTGCTCGCATTCTCTGATCTAATCGTCCTGGCGGTGGGGTCATTGCCTCCACTTCTGCAGCTAAGAATCTGACCCTCAGATCTGAGAAGCAGCTGCCCAGTACCAGGAAGACCAGAGAAGGCGGGCATCAGACCCAGGTCCGCCAGCCCCTGACCTCCCAGTGCTGCGTCTCTCCCCCCGTCCCCCCAACCCTGTGGGTAACTTCCTAGCGCTTTCTTTTTGGATAAACCATCACACCCCTGTATCAGCATACTTGGAGGCTCAGATACAGCTAACCATCCTAGCTGCTCTCTCACTATATGACAGTTACTTGTTTACTATCCGTCTCTGGTTATACCGTAAGCTTCGTAAGGACGGACTGTCCGCTCTGTTTGTTGTGAAAGCTGGTGGGCCTAGCACAGTGCCTGGCTCACAGGTGTTCAGGAAATATTTGCAGAATGACGGACCGTCTTCACCCGTGGGCAAGCTGTCCCCAGAGGATGCCTGGGCGGCTGAGTCAGGGGGGCACCTCAGGAGACCCTGCCAGGGCTGAACCCAGGTGACTGGGGTGGAGGACGCAAATGGAGTCCCTCCCCCCCCAACCCCCCTGCTCCGGCGGCACTTACAGATCGGTGGCGTATTCAGGGAGGTGGCTGGGGATGCGGGCCAGCTTCTGGTTGGAGCAGTCCACAACGGTGCCCTCGCAGCGACACTTCTCGGGGCACACGAGGTCCATGAAGCACTCGCTGCTGAACCGGCTGCGGTAATCCTCTGAGCCTGGGCGGGCCAAAGAGGGAGGGCGGCGTCACCAGGGCTCCCGCACCCGGCGAGGTGTGGGCAGTGGGGTGGGGGTGCAGGGACAGACACAGCGCTGCCCGTGTTTGTTGGCCACCTTGCTGGTGCCCTCCCGCCCCCCAGCTCTCCATCTGGGCTGCCATTCACCGCTCTCATCCCCTGGAGACCCCTCCGAGGGCGCATGAGCTTTTGGGGGGCACGGACCTCTCAGAGGAGCTGAAGGAAGCTAGGACGCCTCCTCCTAGAAGTGCTCCAGGCACATGTGTATGGAATTTGGCTACAATTTAGGGGGCTACTGAGTCCTGATGCTCCTGTCCATGGACCCTCTGAATGTGCATGACAATCCAGTGAGCAGACTTTGCTGGGGTTCTGATGGGGGCTACACCAGGGGCGGGAACAAAGTAAGGGGAGGGGTCACACACTCAGGGCCCAAGCAGGGAAGGGGACGATAAAGGAGGCCCGCATAGGGCCACCCACGACCACCGACACCTGGCTCCAACAGCGGGCGACAGTACCGAGGGCCGGGGCCTGGGGATCGGAAGGCACTGCCCCGGAGCTTGGGGATGTGGCCCCGTGTTGCCTGACTTTCCTTTAAAAATATGCTGGCAAAGAGTAAACATTTAAAACACAGAGAAGACAAGCACCAGCCCTCTGAGGGTCAGATCTGCGCCCCCCCCTCCCCCTCGTGAGTGAGCCCTGCTGAGCTACAGTGAAAGGCCAGTTCCGAGGAGCTAAGAGTATCCGAAACTAAGGTTTATTTTTTCGAAATTTGGTTTTCTTGAGGTTGCATAGTAAGGGTAACAGGGCCAACCACGCGCTGTCTGAGTGACGCCCTGGGAACAGCTTTATTGATCAGAAATGCCCCCTGACCCCGGGCAAACCTCCACGAGGCAGACCACAGGCCACACCCACGGGACGGGGCTCTGTTCCTCCTGTCGGACCAGCTAGCGGATGGGGAAGGTCTTCATTAGCTCGCATCAACGGTCCAGGAGCGCAACGCCAGTCACAAAACAAGGACCCGGTCCACATGTGCTCAGGGCATCAGCGGGGTGCCATTGGCTCGTCGGGGTGCGGGGGAGAGGGTTGTAATATAGGACAGGCTCAGAGACCGCGAGCATCGTTTTCTTGTGCAGCCCACCAGGCGCCCCTTGGTGACCCTATCTGCACCTTGAGCAGTGTGGGCGCCGGCAGTACCGAGGTCTCAGCAGGAGAGGGTGTGGGTTTGCCTAGGCTTTGCCACGGATTTGCTTAGGTCTCTCCACATGCAAGAAGGGAATCAAGCCCTAACCGGTTTGGCTCAGTGGATGGAGTGTCAGCCTGCGAACTGAAAGGTCCCAGGTTCGATTCCGGTCAAGGGCATGTACCTTGGTTGCGGGCACATCCCCAGTGGGAGGTGTGCAGGAGGCAGCTGATCGATGTTTCTCTCTCGTCGATGTTTCTGACTCTCTATCTCTCTCCCTTCCTCTCTGCAAAAAATCAATAAAAATAAAAAAATAATAATTATGATATTAAGCACGTTGGACTAAGTACTATGATGGAAGTATAAGCCAAATGCATTAAGAAAATGTGCTTAGTTGGGGTGATGAGCACACAATACAGATCTCACGGGGGTCTCACGGGGGTTGTTGTGACGGTGCAAGGAAGACCGAGGCACTGGAGGGTCTCCTGGGAAAGGGGCAAGAGTTTGTAGATGTTTGTGATTCTGCTTGTTTTTTCTAGAACGTAGTGGAACACTGGGCATGTCGGAAGCCACTGAACATCCGAGTAACCCGTGACAATAGCTGACATTCACTGAGCATGGACCAGAGCCGGGCACTACTCTTTGAACTTCAATGGGTGAGCACATTAAGGCTCTGAGGGCATCAGGCCTCCGTTTTATAGATGAGGACCCATTTTACAGACGAGGACACTGAGGCCCGCAGGTGCTCAGTCACGGCCGGGGGATGAGGCTGCCGCCAGGGCCCACGTGACTAGCACCACACTCTACTGCAGGCGTGCTTCCCTACAAAACCTCCCAGGACTGGTCCGGAAGCCCCACTAGGTGGGGTGGGCTGAGCTGCAGGTTCCTGCCCCGGGCTACGGTGAGGAGGGAAGCAGGCGCTCCCACCCTCTCCCTTCTCCCATGATCAATCTGCGTGAATTCCTGATTGACAATGGATTTGGTGGGTCTTTGGTTCTGAAGTGAACCTTCTCCCTATCACAAGGGGTCGGAGGTCTGGACCTGTCTCCGCTTCCTCCTCACCACCACCGCCCCCCCCCCCTTCACTCCAACTTCCACCCCCAGGTTCGTGTGAGCAAAACCTGTCACGGATCCCCATGGTTTTTTGGGGGGCGCTTCCTTGTCCGATGTCTTACACAAATCTCTTGCCCTTGTCCTGCCAGCATCCAGCCCACCAGATAACTCTGACCGGGGCCATTTCCCCCAGAGGCACCGGTATGCTGAGCCCGGGGAATTTCATTTGGCAAACCCTGCTAAGTGGCAGCCCTCTGGGTTCCCTGCCAGTGGCTCCATACGGCCGGAGCGTGCAGGGGCATTTCGCACATATGCTCTGCTTGTCCTTAGGGAGGCATTTACGTGGGATCCTTGCAAGGCGGAGGAGCCCTGAGAGCTGGTCAAAGGCAGAAAGACAGGAGGGAGCACCGTTTGCTCTTGGACACGCTGAGCCCGAAGACGCGCACCGCCGGGCCGTGTCCGGGGACGGCCGCCAGGTAACATGTTTTCCTTTTAATCAAGGTGAGAGCTGCGTAGTTCGCAGGAATCGCTCTCTGTCGTGTACTTGGATTACAACGGGCAGACCTCTGCAATGGAGCCGCTGACCCATTTTAATGAAATGATTTTGCAATTAGATTCGATGGACTAATGTGTTCTTCCCAGCATCCCCCCTGCGGTGTTTGTTATTGCCCTGGTTTGTAGTAACGAGGGGGTCGGAGTGTAATATTTCATGTGGGTGGAGGCCAGAAATGTTAATCATGGCGTAGGCACGTAAGCAGAAGGGTCCGTCCCCAGGCACAGCCCGCCTGAAATGCCACCTCCATCGCTTCATTTTTCATGATCGAAACGACCCGGGGTTTCTCGGAGCCATTTGTTCTGCCTAATGCTCATAACCACCCGAAAGTATTTTTAACTTTCCCAGGGCTTTAGAAGTCGGTTCCCATCTCACTGCGCATTTGTCACTGCCAGAGACGCTCAGCCAGGGAGGGTAACCGCACCAGGCGGCCCGGGCTCTCTCCGGGGGGGGGAGGGGGGGGGTTCCGGCAGGAGAGCGCTCGGGGGACTTGCAAAGGGGCCATAGAACGAAGCCCGGTTGAACCGGGTCTTGGGAGAGCTGACGTCACGGGCACTCCTCCTCCTGCCCGGGTGGTCTCCTCCCATCCCGGGCAGCTCAGAACAAGGACACTGGGTACATGATCATAGAGAAGCTTTAATAGATCGGGTGGGGAGGGGGTGGAGATCCATGGCAAGGCCATTTTATTACGGACCGACCCCTGGCTGGGCAGGGAGGGAGCCCCAGTCGCCCTCTATGATGGACGCGGATGCGGCGCCAGACTGGCCCGGCCCGGCTGCTGTCACCAGCCGTCTGCACTCTGTCATCCTTCCGGCAACCCGTTTGTGGAGCGGAAGTCACAGCTCCCCATCACCTGATGACCATGGACCTGTCCAAGCACATGCCCAAAGCTCTCTTCCTCTACCTCCAGTATCTCTAAGGCGGGCAGGATGAAAGAAAGAAGGAAAGGAGCAGGAAGAGGGATGGGGGCCGCGGGAGGCCTGAAGGCTCACCAGCTTGGAAAGAGAGTTATGTGGACAAGCGAAGGGTCATAAGTCATGAGTGGAGTCAAGAAGACATTGCCAGGCGCAGTGGGCGAAGACGGGGACCAGACACCAGCGGCTGGAAAATGCCACCTGTGCTAACGGTGCAACTGCTGTCCCAGGCAGCTCTCCCCGCTATTGTGAATGTAGCCATATGCCTGAGGCAGAGGGAGATGCCCGTGGCCCATTGGGCACAGCCTGGTCACACGCCTGCTGCTGAGGAACAGGGAGGTGCCAACGGGAGGGTACTAAGATGGACACACTCCCCAAAGCCTGGCCCTTGCACGGTGGGCAGCACCAAGGAGCTCAGAATGCCCCCCTGACCCTGTTCAGAGGGAAGGGGATTTCTCCAGGCCCAAGGACTTGTTCTGTACCATATGGATCTTGGCATATTCACCCCAAGAGGAGGACCCATATAAACAGCGCTGCTTGCTCTCTTTCTTCCTCAAGTTATTTCCTATTAACAGAGGAAGCTTGAAAGGGAATGTTAAAAAAGGACATTTCAATTCCCCATCAACTCAAGTCAAAGTCTTTTTGATTTTATGATTCAAGGCAATGGGACTGCCCACAGCTGGGAAGGCTGAGGACTGCAGACATAAAGAACATTAGAACATTCACGCTGCAGTCAGGGGGGCCTGGGCAGGTCGGTGAACCTCTCTGAACCTCGATGTCCTCATCTGTAAAATGGGACTTATCGACAGGGTTGTCGTGAAAACTGAACACGGTAGTAACATAGGACAGCGCAGTGCCTGGCCTACAGGAGCACTCAGTACATGGTAAGGGATTCAGAGAGGTTCACAGGACTCCTGGGTACTCAGCCAGGTGGGCACGTGGCTGCGCGGTAACCTGAGAGAGGAGATAGTTGAGTCACACATCCCCGGGGGAGCCCAGAGCCCGCTCCTGGGTCTAGGCCAGGGTTCGGTTCCCACCATGGCTGTCTCTCCTGGGAGAGGACACAGGCTCCATGACATGCACCATGAACACAATCCTCTGGTTACACTGGGTCCAGAATTTACCAAGAAACAAGCTGAACGGGAGGCACCAAGACCCCTCTCTTCATTGTCAGACAGCAGGTGTCTGCACAGGCGTGTGGCACTGAACTAACACCATGGAAAGAACCTGCGCTTGAAGGTCAAGGGAATAGACTTCAGTCTGTACGGGCCCAGGGCCCAAGTGCTCCTAAGGAGTGGGGGTCAGGTTCAGAGGAGTCTCCCATGTTCCATCAAAGTCTCAGACTCACGCCCATGGCCCCCTTCCCCTGCTCACAAACCTTCCCATAAAGACGGTGGGTGGGGGCGGGCCTAAGCACTGTGACCTTTGGGTTCACTACACTTGGGAAAATGACCTTGGGCTGGGCTTCTTCCCTGAAACAATGGGGCATAGGCCTCAGGTGTACCCGCTCCCTTTGCGTGGAAGATACGACCGATGGTTTCTGAGCTTGGACCTGTCTCTTCTACCCGGCTGGCATCCAGACTAGATTTTGGGAGCGGCGGTTCCATTTGGGGGGGATGTGGATACACATCTTAGCCTGGCCTCAGGGTGCTTCTCTGCCCCTTTCCGCCCGTATCTCTCCCTGGAGGGGAGGCACTCAGCGGTGTGGCGACTCCCACCCTGCCCGAGGCTGCCCCGAGGGTCTGGCGGGTGGCGGCTGCGGTGTCCAGAGCAGAGAGGTGTCCAGCGGTGCGGTGCGGCGGGCCATGCTGCAGGAGAGCGCGGGGCCTTCCGCGGTGCTTGACAGAACCATGTTCCGTTTCCATCGTTCCACCACATGGTTAGATCAAGCACAAAGGAAAGCCCCACGGACCGGGCAGTCGGGTCAGGAAGCAGCGTCAGAGAGAGGACAGCTCAGTGGAAGCAGCGTGGAGAGGCGGGAGCCGGAGGAGGCCCCACGGAGCGTGATTAGTACCAGGAGTGGGGGCCGCGGGAGCACTTCCGAAGACAGGATCCCCCGCCCCGAGCCCATCCCAGGAGAGACACTGGAGGGGGGGAAGGGAGAGGGGAGACCCAACACCTCCAGTCAGGATGTCGGGGCAGAATGCACCCTTCCCCAGAGAATGAAAGCAGCAGGTGTCTGTCACATCACAGCCTGAACTGAGCCTCTGCACCCCTCTGATCCCAGATGACGCCAAACTCGGCAGAACGGCCTGCTGTGTGCTCAGTCCCGAGGCTCCCCCAGCAGAGCCTCCCCAACAGCCTGCCCAGCCCCTTGCTAGAGACGCGCCACCATTCCCGGGGGCCTGGCAAAGCCGCCATGATCTCCAGGAAAAGCCCTCTGATGCGCCACAATTCAGGAGTCGCCTCAGTGTCCTTCAGGGTCCCCAGAAACCCCCTGGCTGATGGACGTCCCTCCCAGATTGCCCGAGATGTAACGGGGAGGGGGGGATGTCCGAGGGAAAATACACATTTCTAGCAAGGGAGGCAGAAGGGGGAGCCAATGGGGCCCCACATTGGGACGGAGACCCGCAGTCACAGGGGTCTGAGAACACGGATTTCACAGAGGAGGTGCCGGTGCTCCCAGGAGGGGCCTCTTTCAGACTAAGAGGAGGAAGGAGGGGAGGACACCAGTTACAGGCCCTTAGTGATTTCCTAAATTCTTCCATGTGAATCACGGGGTGGAGGTGGGGATGGGGAGGCAACAACCAAGTATTTCGGATGCCAAGGCCCAGGTGAGGATGCCGGGCTTTATGTCCCTGGGATCCTACAAGAGATCGGGCAGCATGAACCTGCTGGCTCGGACTCCCCCTACCCCCACCCTCCAGCCACTGGGAGGAGACGTGTGTACCTGGAAGAGACCTGACTCAAGGCCAGGTGACCGCCCCCGCCCCCACCCCTGCCCTGCCCTGTGTTGGAGGGACGGGGTCACTGTCCTTCCACAGTGTGCTTTTGGGACGAGACCATCTCAGCATCTGGACGTGCACAGGTATCTGCAGTGGGTGGCCAGGCAGCCAAGGGCACCGCGCAGCTCTGGGTCTGGCCCCTTGTCTTCCTAAGCCCTCCCCTCTGACGGACCAGAGTTGGCCACTGTCATTCAGACCCAACCCCACTTGGACCCCAGACAGGCAGGGCTCTGTAAGTGCTCTGGTTTGGGGATCTGGTTCTCAGGTGTGATAGGCCCTCGGGGCCACAGCAGGGACACAGCCCGGTCCTGCCCCAGCTCCCAGCCTGAATACCAACGAGGCTTTCCTGCTCTCTGGTCTCCTCAATGACAGCCAGGGGAGGGGCCAGGGAGAAAGCTATGGAGTCTCCAAACCCCTTCAGAGCTGGGTGTCAGAGCTTGTCCCTTCTCCCGTGCGGCTCCGTCTCTCCCTCTCTGGCAGGGCCTGGTGAGCTGGGGGCTCTAAAGCTCTAATTCCCTGAGTGCCACGCTGTTGGCCACCTTTGCACATCTGGCGTCCCCACCTCTGGACTTTTTGCCAGGAGAGTTGCCTCTTGCTGCCGGGTGCCCACACACACAGTGGCGGGGGGCGAAGTGGGGGAGGAGGAGGGAAGAAGGCATCTTCCAACTGCCCGTGCTCCCTGGGGTGGGGTCCCCACAGCCAGACGGCGCCCTTCCGGGAGGACGTAATCGGGCGGTCAGATCACCCCAGCTGGCAGCCTCTGCCTCTAGCCTGACCTGCTGCTCAGGGAGGTGGGCGCGGCTGATGGAGCAGACGCAGGGCTGCTGGAAGCCCAGACCCACCATGAGGGGCTTTATGTGCTGCAGGAGCCGCCCTCAAATTGGCTCCTAATTACATCAGCTGCCTCTGCAATGGGGCGCTTTTAGGGGGAAGTAAAACGCAGAGTTATTATCTGTCAAATCCACTACATGTCACCTGCCCCTCCTCCTTTCTTCCTGGAAACAGCGTTAGGGCTCTGGCTCTGCTGCCCAGCGTCTCCCAGAGCCCAGGCCTCTGGGGCTCAGCAGCTCTCTCTCTCTCCCTCCTCTGCAGCTCAGAAAACAGAAGCATGCAGAATGCTCTCGCTTTCCCTGCCTTCAGAGCAATAACAGAGGGAGGGGCGTCCATCATGTCTGCTTAGTACAGATTAAAACAAGATATTTAGAGAGGGTCAGGCCAGGGGCCGCCCTTTGTCCTTGTCTGTTGCATGTGTATTTCCCACCATTCCTGCCCCACACAGAGCAAGCAGCCGATCCTGCCGTGGAGAGGCAGGTAGGCTGGGGCGAAGCTAGAGTCAGAGCCAAGCTCCACCACCCTGTGTCCTGGGTCTACTCGCTACTTTCTCTTTCTCCTACTTGACCCCCTCCCCGGCCCCCCCTCATCCCAGCCTATAGTCACGCCTATGTCCCTGGGAGACGCCAGTCTCAGACCCTGCCCCCCAGAACCCGGGCATCGATCTGGAGCCCGACACCAAACAGGACCCTGCCTTCCTCTCCCTCTGATTGCCCCTCTTCTTGAGCACAACTGCCTGTCAGAGCGAATGAACGCGGCCGTGGCCAGACAGGCTGGGACGGAGGGGACAGTGTCAGTCAGGAGGAGAGGCCCCTGGGAGGGATGGCTGAGCCTCAGGGGCAGCCCTGGGTGGGAGGAACTTCAGACAGGGTTCAGGGGTGGGGTGGAGGGAGGAGCCATTAGACTGGGAAAGACAGTCATTCAAGCAGCTGGTCCTTCCCAAATGCTCTTCTCTCCCAGATGCTGCGAGGAGCAAGCTAGACCGGGGTCCGGCCCCACCATGGCTGGTTGTGACCTCGGGGTGCCTGTCACCTCTGAGCCCTGGGCTCCCTCTGCTGCAGGGCCGGGGCCAGTCCTGCTGGCCACACAGGACTCTGCAGAGCACGCGGCACAGTGCTCACCAAGGCGAGAAACTGCTCTCCAAGCAGACATGCTGCTCTGGGGAGACCACTGGGAGCAGCGCCTCCTAGTGCCCAGACTCCCTGTTACCCCCAAGCCTCTCCAGGTGTTTGCTGCTGTTGAAAAAATAAAAATCAAACAGCTGAAGTCATGCACGTGCTGGCTTTTCTGGAGACGTGGACTCAGAGGTCTGACTTGGAGGACAGGAAGGGCTTGCCGGCAGCAGAGGCCTGCCCTCAGGCCCTCTTGGGGCCGCCCAGCTGGCGCTGCCCGGGAAAGTGCGCTTCTGCACGCACAGCGCTCTGGGGCGGGGAGAGGAGAGGTTCTTACTGACACGCGGATTGTTAGGCTGGTGCAGCATCTCAGCACGTCCCGCTATCAATCTCTTACCGCTGGGAACGCAATGCACTTGGTGATTTTTTTCCAGGAGCAAATGACACAAATGACAGTCATCTTTAACTGCCCATTCCCCTAACTACTGGGTCAAGGAGAGCGACCTCCCTTTCCAGGAAGAGCTGAAAGCCCCCTGCCATTCAGCCGGTGTCTCTGCCGGGGCGGTGGGGAGTGAGGCGACAGAGGGAGCCTGGGGACCGGAGGGCAAGGCTTGCTCTTCTCTGGCGATCAGAGTTACCAGTCTGGCGGGGGGATCTGGCAGAAATGTCTGTGAAACCTGTAATCCACTGTGGTGGAAGGGCTGCACCAGGTGGTCTTAGAGGGGAGAAGAGGCCCCCAAGATTGTATGCTGCCTGCAGCCTGGCCTGTGGAATACCTCTCTACCTGCCACTTGGGGAGCACGCTTTAGACACTAGGAAAAAATGGGTAAAAAGCCCACCCCAACCTCTAGCTTCCACCTAGCCCCGGAGATACGCTGCCGCCTGGCCTCCGTCTCTCCTGAAACCACGCATCCCCCTGCCACCCCCCTCCCCGCCCCATGATTTTACTGTGTGTGTGTGTTTTATTTTAAATCCATAAGGTAATTGGTTTTCTGCAGGACTAACTGAATTTCCCCAATTTAATTTGCAAAGCTGCTCCCAGGAGCCACTGCAGCTCGCTGTCCTCCAGATCGGATTACGGGCCTCCAGGGGCGCCAAGGGGAGATGGGCCCGCCCTAACCTGATTACCTGAGCAGCGGAACTTCTTGCTCTTGACCTGGCTGATGCGCTTGTTGGCCAGGCGCCGGGGGCTGCTGCAGCGCGCCCCGCTGGTCTCGATGGGGTTGTCCTGCAGGTAGTCCGCCAGCCACTTCAGATGGCAGTCGCACACAAACGGGTTTTGGGCTAAGTGGCTGGGAGAGGGAGGGGCGCTCATCAGGAGTGACCTGTGGTGCCCACACCACCCCCTCCCACCTGGTGCTGGGCCCTGGCCATCCAGTGCATGGAACCCTCCCTCATCACCCCAGGAGGCCTGGGGGACATGGGGGCTGCTTCCAGAGGGGACCAGAGAGGGGCTGGGGACTTGGCCTCGCCCACTCGGGGCAAGACCTGCCACGGATACCCCCTGACCCTCACCCACACCAATCCTGATGGGCAAAGCGAGCTGCAGGCCTAGGGTGTGTGCGTAGAGAAGACTGTGTTTATGTCTCTGAGCTCTGCCACACAGGCACATAAGGCAGCTGGCAGGGCGACGGGCACATGGGGGTGTTCCATAAAAAGCAGCGGCACGGCTGCTGTCATCGCGCCGTCGTGAGCAGCACCGTGGCCTCGCTCTCCTTGGCTCAGTAAGAAAACCCTGCAGAGCTGCACACAGTGCCTGGCACGTGGTAGGGGGCCAATAGGTAGCAGCTGTTCCTGCTCTTTATTGGTTCCTGTCTCTTGTTACGGGCCAAGTGCCAGATGATTCAGACGCCCCAGGCTCACGGCCAGGCCACCGGCTGGGGTGAGGGTCTCAGCGTGGGGCTGGAGCATCAGAAACACGGCCCGAGACCTGACCTGTGCTAGGTGGTCAGCGATCTCACAGACCTATCTGTGAACATGTGCAGTGCTTGGGAGTGAGGAACTGCTCCCAAGGCGGGAGGTGAAATACTCCCAGGGTGCCCATATCAGAGGGTAGCCGGGGTGGGGGTGGGGTCGGTAGTGGTGGGTTATCCCTAGAGAATATAGTGGCTGCAATGAATAAGAGAGCAGTTGAGGGGCAACTCTGCCTGGATTCAAATCTGGATTCTCACTAGCTGTGCAACCTTGAGTAAGTTACCTAACCTCTCTGAGCCTTGGTTTCCTCTCACAGAACTGGGGGATCATAACAGCACCTACCGCAAAGGGTTGTTATGAGGCTTGGAGGTTTGCATCCAGGGGAAGAACCAAGTGTGACGCCCTGCATGGTGTGAGCTCAGAACAGGGGAGCTGTACCGGTGCCCACTCTGCCCTCAAGCGGGGGTCCCTGTGGCCACGTGCGGGTCCCTGCGGCCTGGGCGTACTCACAGCGTCTGGATGGCCTGCAGAGGGGCGAAGAGCCCCTTGCTGATGGTCTGCAGCTTGTTGTCATAGAGGGAGAGCAGGTTGAGGTTCTGCAGGTCCTGGAACGTGTTCACCCGCAGGCAGTTGATCTTGTTAGCATTAAGGAGGCTGCAAGCACAAGAGAGGTGGGTGACTCGCTGACCCTGGTCGTCAGCCGTGGGCCCAGGGCTGATGCAGGGACCGGGCTGCAGAGCTCCCTCGCTCTCCTTGCAGCCAGGCTCCTGCTGCTGAAGAGAGAGAGAGGGTCTCGCCTTCCTGTGGCCACAGACACTTAGAAGATGCCTGGGCATGGGGATGGGCATGCAGGGGCACCATGGCCACTGTACCACCCTCTGCCATCATCTGGAGCCTCCCCTCGAGCCCATGCCCGGGAGGAAGGCTGGAGATGGCGCCCACCTGCGTGGCTTTCTGCTCTAGAATGCAGAGGTTCCAGGACTAAAAAAAAAAAAAAATCATATGCACAACTGTTTCCAAGCTGTAGTTGACTGACTAAAGGCCATTCTGATTCAGAAAAGTCCTTGGTTCTTTGGGATCACTTATTCCACTGGAAATCTGATGAAGTTATAACGCAGTGGTTCTCAAACTTCTGGCCCTTTAAATACAGTTCCTCATGTTGTGACTCAACCATAAAATTATTTTCGTTGCTACTTCATAACTGTAATGTTGCTACTGTTATGAATCGTCATGTAAATATGATATGCAGGATGGTCTTAGGCGACCCCTGTGAAAGGGTCGTTCGACCGCCAAAGGGGTCGCGACCCACAGGTTGAGAACCGCTGCTATAGAGCATCCTCCCAGAAAGCACACATCCATGGGTGGGCTTGTATTGCACTGTTTTCTCTCTCTCTCTCTCTCTCTCTCCCCCCCCCCCAATAGAACATGCCTTTTAGGTGGAACTTAGTCCATCCAGCACAGGCAATGCTGTGAGGGGTCAGGGAGTTTTTCAGATGCAGCTGGAAAGTCAAGCAAATTTGGGTCCCCTTAGGACCCACACTCCCCAGACTGACTAGTGGTGCCCTTGCCACTGGCTTAAAGTAACCTCCCAGCCCCTCTTAAATGGAAGCAGGGGAGGGGGAACCGAACTAACCAGCTAAACGTGGAAGTTTTAAAATTCCTATTTTCAGGGCTGGCCCAGAGCTTCCCTCTCGGGGAGCAACCCACGAGGCTCATAACAGACTGTCTTGTCTCCGGAGGCCCTTGATGCCAGGGTCCCCGGGGCTTCCGCTGGCAGCGGTGGGGCTGCCCTGGCGGCGGAATCATCTGTGCCACCTGTTCCTGCTGCAGCCGGTGTGCGGGCAGCTGCGGCCGTGACAAGTGGAGGAACTGCCTGTGTAATCTGGCAAATAATGGGCAGGGTCCCCAGGGCTCGCACAGATGTCCTCCTGCCTCACGCTGGAAACGAGCTCGTGTTGCTGGAACACGTCTCGTGTTTGCCAAAGTGCCTTTCTGACGGCCTCGTATTCTCACAGTCACCTGGGCAGATGGGCAGAGCGCGCCTCTCAAGTCACAGGTGGGGAAACCAAGGCTGAGTGGGGAGGGGCCTGTCTGAGGTCACACGCTGGGAGTCGTTATGATCACTGGGGCTGCAGAGGGACCGTGTCTTCTGTATGAAGGCCTCACCTCCTGCCCACGCCTATCCCCTTTGTAGCTCCCTCGCCCTAGAATGTCCTGTGCTTTATAGATCACATTTTAGTCCAGGCCCCTGCATGTGGGGCATTCTGAGGAGGATGCCAGGGAGCAGAGAAACAGGGAGCAAAGCTAGAGAGCCCACAGGGCCAAGCACCCAAGAGTTAGGGACAAACGGACCCTACACACACACACACACACACACACACACACACACACACACTTTTTGATTGGTTTGTTTAAAACAAGAAGTATGTGGTAAATGACTTGTTCCAAACTTTGATATTCAGGAATTGGTGTGTGGTAAATGACTTGTTCCAAACTTTGATATTCAGGACCTCCCGAGGGCACTGTCTGGGCTGGCGAATAGTGAACCATTTAGCAAAGAGGCCCACTCAGAGGTGCCGTCCGATGGCCCAAGGATAGGATCCTCCCCGCAATACAGTGCAACATCCCACATGTAAATATGTTCATTCAGTCCTCCCAGTGTTTAAAATCTCTCTCTCTCTCTCTCTCTCTCTCTCCCTCTCTTTCTCTCTCTCTCTCCCTCTCTCCCTCCCCCCTCTCTTTCCCCCTCCCCTCTCTCTCACGCACACATATATCAGATTTATATTTTCTTTTGGAAAAAAAAAATTCAGAATCTGGGTCCACTGGAGGCAGCTATGGAGTGGCTGCCCCTTTCGATAGAACATATGCCCTGTTTGCTACAGTCCTCACTTCTCCCTATTGTCTGCCCTTCACTATTCCATCTACCTTGCCTGCCTGCGTAGGCATTTAGATTTGAGACGCTAGTGCAGATGCATAAGCCCAATTGCAGGGCTTGGTTCTGGGGAGTGCAGGACGCTGATCAAGGCAACCGTGACCTGCCTTGAAAGTGTCCAAACTGCATCTGCTCTGGCACCCTCTGCTCCCCTCAGAACTCCTGAGGCTTCTTTTTCAGACCCAGATGCTTTCTCATTCCTGCTGCTTCCAGATCTCTCGGCATGGGGTGCTATCTCGCTCTGGCACCCTCTGCTCCCCTCAGAACTCCCGGGGCTTCTTTTTCAGACCCAGATGCTTTCTCATTCCCTGCTGCTTCCAGATCTCTCGGCATGGGGTGCTATCTCTAAGATGTGAGGCGTCTCACCATCCAGGCTGGCAGAATTACTCGCCAAGACAGCACGGCGGGTGGCCTGCTTGGAGCAGGCGCTCAGGGAAGCATGAAGGGTGCGGGCTTGGTCCCTTTTGCTCTCCCAGGATGCCTGGCTCCTAAGGCAGGACTCGGGGGTGCAGGGAAAGGCAACATTAAGCTGCGTATCCAGATCGAGGTGCTGACGGCCTCACTGATCCCAGTTGGGGGAGGCCTGACAGCAGGTCCCTCCTCTCTCCTCGGGAGGAAGGCTGGCAGCCACTCCCCCCTCTGCTCCGTGCATGGAACACGGACAAGTCGGAGGGGCATTTAAGAAACACCCGGTCATGGAGCAAATAGAGAGCACACAGCTACTGGAAAGGGGTTCGGCAGCTCGACAGGAAGGCCTGAGCACAGGCCTCCCTCCTCACTGCAGGGACCGACACTCCCTCTTTCTTGATCTGCCCTGGTTCTCGCCCCTGAGACATGATGACAATCATGAGTCATCTCGGGAGACCACAGTCTGTGTGCAGCCCGGTGCCACGCACCCTCCATAGCCCTTTCTGTGCCGTATTTCCTCTCACCCGCATGTCCTCATTTTGCCGATGAGGAAACTGAGGGTCAGGGTGGCCCCCCAGCAGTAAGTGAAGCTCCAGCCACTCGACTCCACAGCTCATCTCTGACCCACTACGTACAATCCATATTCTCTCCTCCTGGCCGATGGAAGGGGTTCCCGTCCCTGGGGAGGGGCGCTCTTCCCTGGCTCTGGAATGCACTGGGCGCGCCTCAGGTGGATGGGGTCTGGCTGGGTCTAGGCGACGCTGCTGGCCTCTGGGTTGTGTAGAGGCACCTTAGGAAGGACTTGGCACCAAGCTGGCAGACGGGCTGCTCAGCACATGGCCGTGGGCACAGAGGGGCCGGTCTTCACTGATGGTTCGCCCTTGCACCATGCAGGGCTGTGGCCTTTAGGGACCACTGGCTAAATGCTGATTTGGGGGGTGGTGTGCTCGTCTGTGCTCCCCTCTCCTGAGCTCTCAGTCTCCTCTGGGCAGGCCAGGGGACAACGATGAAGCAGAGACGATGGCCTCCCTCATGGAAGAAGGGGCGCTCCAGCTTGCCGCGGTCAAGAGGCTGCTGGTATGCGAGCTCAGAACTTGGATGCCCCAACTGGCTCCCAGCTTGATGGACTTACAGTTGGAACCAGAGAGTCAGGGGGCTGGGGGCATGTCGTGTTCATAACTATTTCCCCAGAAGCAGATCCAACCGTGCTGTGGGGACACCTGCTCCCAGACCCAGCACTCAAGGGAACCTCAAAGTCATATAAACAAAAGGGAAGGCGTGCTGCAAGGATCAGGCCAGGTGAGCATCTGTGGTCACAGGACCTAACAGGTGATATGTCAGGTCATTGCTAATAGGTAATAAGTTCTATGTGTGGCCAGGCCCTCGCCACGCCCCTGTCCAACATTAACTCCCGGAAGCTCCCCACAGCCCTACGAAGTAAGTGTTCTCTCCACCTGACAGAGGGCACCCCTGGGACTCAGAGAGCGCAAGTGCCTTCGCCCAAAATTGCACAATTAGCAACCAGTAGATTGAGAGCTGGATCCATGTCACCTAAGCCCACAGACTTTACTCCTGGCCACCGTGCTCCTGACACTTAGCCCACTCCCACTAAGGGACCGGGAATCCCCGAGGGCTTCCGGGAGGCGTGGGCCTCATCCTCCCAGCCACTCCTAGTCACTTAGTAATGAGTCCATCACAGAACCAAACCAAAAGAGCCGGGCTTTGCAGAGGAGATGAAGGCGAAGGGCACCACCTCCTAAATTCACTTCCCAGGGTAGCTCTGCCGGCACCCGCCGCCCCTTCTCGGAGCACTTTCAGCGTCCACATATGTTCCGTGTCTAGAGGGATTAGCGCTCAGCCCATCAACTAACCAACACAACATGCTGCGGAGAGATAATCCTTTCCAGGAGTTGCGCCTGCAGGCAAAGCCAGGCAGGAACCAGGAGCCGCTGGGGACCAGGGGACCAGGGGGCGTGGAGCTGGGGGGCGTGGACCAGCCCGTCCTGCTGAGGAGGGCTCTGGCCTCCGGGCCTCCCGGCCTCCTGTCCTCCTCCCTCGGGGGGATGGGCCTGGCTGGGCAGGAAAGCTCCCAGGAGCTCATCACTCCACAGCTTGCACTTCACTCACTCAGGTCCAGGCAATACGGGGAGATGGACCACAGGAGGGGAGTGAGGTCCACCCTGATCAGCGAGAAGCACCCACCACACCCAGTCTCCCAAAGAGGCCACCGGGCAGACCACTGAGGCCCCATTTTTAGCGACTACCCTGGGCCGGATCTTTTCATTGCTAATCCCCCCGGGGCCCACAGCCTTGG